CCCCCCCCCCCCCCCCTACAAACAGTAATATATATTCTCTTCCAAGATTATCGTTTACATTAAATGGGATATAAATGTTTAAGCAAGGAAACAAAGTTTTTCCAAAATTTTGCACATTATATTAATTGAGCTATCGTATTTGATGTTATGTTTTATTTAACTCCGTTTAATGTAAGCTAATACTTTTTTACACCTAAAATTGCACTATCTGTAATGTCTAATTCAGCTTAATTCAGTTTAATTTATGCTTATTCAAAGTAAAGCACACCTTTAATATTAATGCCTGAAGCTCGTGCTCCTTCATACTATTTTGATACACTCACGCATGCATACCTAGGGCTATATGAACAACTGCTATTACTTCACAGTATAGTTTTAATAAAAAGAATTTGAGTACGAATGTAACAGAAACATATCGATGTATGCATTAAGTATGATATATAAAGATATATCGTATCACGATAAAGCTAGGAAATTATTCCTTTTAAAAAAAGGAGAGAATATAGATAAGAAACTTTGCGTTATAACATATCCCGTTATAAGAAACAGCGAGTTTAGCGCATGGATATTTAACATAACTTCAATGCTATAATATGTATATATATATACATATTGATCAGAATTTTCCTTGTTCTCATTCTGTATTATAATATTTATGAAAAATTAAACTATCCTCGCTGCCAGTCAAAAGTAGAACAGCATAGATATGATGCAGATCTCGCGATTTAACTACGTCAATTCATATTTATTAGAGAGTATTTGCCCTTGCGAAACGGAGCACGCTGCTTCGAAATTATCATTCACCCTGTATCGTTTTAAACCGCCTTGCGATACGTATCTTTTTTTTTTCTAATATTGCCGCATGCGGACGCGATAACTTTACAAACGTATAAACTATATTTTTTTTCTTCTTAACATGTGTCACAGCCTTTGTGGCTATAGAACACAAAGTACACAACTTCTCTCTCTATACAGATTTCCGATAAGACCTTCGATATAAGACTCTGTTAAGACAGAGAATCGCATAAAAAATATCAGTTTAACGATTTAAAAAAAAGGGGGGGGAAAAAAGAAGGAAAGAAACCTCACGGAACTCAGCTTACATACTAAGATAACCGCGAGCCTGACTTCGTCTGCGGCCAACGAGATATGCGATCAATACGATTACCACCAAACCCGCCAATGCGCAACCCACAGTTATGGGAACAATGTCAGGCGTATCAAACGAACAGTCTTTAGCTAAAAGAAAAGATAAAAGGAACAAATAAGTTCATAGTCACAATAGCGATGTAAAAATAAATCATGTTACAAGCGATAAGATAAAAAACCGGATACTTACCTAGACCAAAAATAGTAGTATTATCACCTCGGAAAGCTTGGAACTGTAAATTGGTTACTTTCAAAAACCCTACAGTTGCATTATTACCCTTGAGGGTTAAATCCAGCTGCTGTTCCTTGATACATTTATAAGAGTTGCTTAATCCAGTTTTGAATTGTGGTGTCACATGTACTACAGTCACCGTCTTATCTGAAGAAAAATAAAAATTTAGTTGAAATTATAAAAACGACTCACATAAATTAATAATTCTTAAATTTAAAATGAGAAGGACTTATCGTTAAAGCCACACAACCGTTGAATGTTTTATACGTAAAATAATTTATAACGTCAAAATTAAAAATACATACAGTAATACAATAAAACATACACTTCGACTTTTAATCTGGTCATCCTCAGTGTCAACACAGTTATTTATAAAGATAGTGTTATCTGCGTCATATATATAATCTACTAAAGCAATGATCTTCTTGAATTTTCCAAATAAATGTGTCCATCAGTTACATCGATGCATTCCATAGACGCCTACACGTTTAACATGTATATGTAATGCATCGATGTAATTGATAGATACATATTTATTTGAAGAATTCAAGAAGAAGATTAAAGGTCAAAACGTATGTTTTATTGTATTATTGTATGTAATTTTAATTTTGACGTTATAAATTATTTTATGTATAAACATCCAATGGTATTGGTTCTAATAAGCCCTTCTCATTTTAAATTTAAAAATAAAAATTTGTCCTAAAGAAAAAGGGATTAAAGTACAACTTAATTCACACGAAATAAACACATACTTGATTTATCATTCGGAAATTCTTCGGCCGCTAAAGAGATCTCAAAGTGATGAAGAGAGTAATATTTCTCCGTTTCGTTCTTCACGAAATGAATCGTGAAATTATCCTGGGCGGTCTTATTCTCTGATTCCCATGATAATGTCAGATTTTGCTCAGTTTTATCACACTTTCCTGTTACAGTACCATTGCTGGGTATGTCCATCACTTTGTAAATTGTCTGCAAATAAAATAGCATTAATTACTAATAACATTGGTTGCACCACTATACTTTAATGAACATGAATGTAGCATTTCTATTCGATTGACAAAAATGTGAACTAAATATTTTACAAGAACGATTTCCAACAGATTGTAGCAACATTTATGGCAATAAATTTGCTACAGCATTTCCGCTCGTTTGCGCAAACGACTGTTGTCCGCATAATGCTCCTAGGTTGGCCTAAACGAAATTATTATTGCCCTGACAGCAACATAATGGCAATTGAAGAAAAACTTGTACTAAGCACCTATTTCTTTTCTTATGCTTATTGCCAAGGAACGTTTTGTTATCTGGGTGTAATTTATTTTTCATAATCACAATCATAATTTATTTCATAGTGTTTTAACATAAATAACTACATTTCAGACTATTTCGACGTTACCCAGGATGTACCACGAGGAGGCATAACCCGCTTGACACCCCTCTAGTAAAGTAAAAACTAAAAAAAATAAAAAATAAAAAGGGATGCTAAGCGGACTATGCCTCCACGTGGTGCATCTTAGATACCATTAAAATAGTCCGAAAATCCAAATCGCCTAAAATACACAAACTCCTTTATATTATTTGTAGAGACTCGTAACTGTTATAACCAAAATAAAAAACGATATAGCATAACAATGGCTGCGTCCAGCAGAGAAAACTAATCAGTTAGCGCTTACTTTAGTGATTCTTCAATATAATTGGTTCCTATACTTAAATCCAGTGAAGAACTAGAAGCAAGAACCAATCATATTAAAGAATCACTAAGCGCTAATTAGTTTTCTCTGCTGAACGCAACAATTATATTTTTCTTTAAGCGATTTAGGTTACAAATAACCATTATAAATAATTAAAACTGTTTTCGGTTGCGAATAACCATGACTGATGTTGGAAATTGGTTACAAATAATCATTATCAAAGACGGAAATTATTTTTTATTATAAATTACCATCATAAATGACCAGAATTTGATATTGGTTACGAATAACCATTATTGATGCTCAGAATTTTATTTTATTGGTTACCCAAAATCTCTAAACTACAAATCTTGGCTGTGTTCCAAATTTACTGCCAACATTGAAAATGTGACAGTTTACGTTACATGTACTATATAGATTTTCAGTACAGGCAGTCAATTTTGGAACATAGCCCTTGTTGATTACTGGCAAACAATATCGACAGCAAACATGTTTTCTGGTTACTATTGGGCTATTGTTCAATTTTATTATAATTACGAAATTTAAAATCAATTAATAAAAGATAAAAGATAGCATTATTTACGAAAAAAGAATAAGATGAAAGATATGTTTTAATGTATACATTTTTTGTACATTTCTCTGTAATTCTCACTTGTTCTGCAGAAACTTAACAGGTTACAGAAATGTACAAAAAGATACTAAAAAATACATAACCAAAATAAATGTCTAATCATCGATAATGGTTATTTTTTACTAAAAACAATTTCAGTCGTCCATAATGGTATTCGTAACCAAAAACAATTGCCGTCATCTATAATAATTATTCACAACTGAAAACAATTTCTATCATCAGTAATAATTATTCACAACTAAAAACAATTTCTATCATTAACAACGGTAGTAATGAGAATGCATAAAAATTTTATAAAGATATTTTATAAAGATTATATTTTTCAAGCAATTTCTTTAAAATTTAATGATGATTGTCTTCTCTGTGCATAAATATCAACTTTTAATAAATGATTTCTTTAGATCAAATTTTTCAAGATAACTGTTACGATAACTGACTTTCGGTCTCTGATTATTTGTCAAATTTGATAACAAAAAAAATTTTTATATATTAACATATAATATTATAAACTTAGTTTTTGTGTGCTTACCACATTATCGGTGGTATATGAAACATTGAATTGTACAGCCATTTGAATGAGAATACATATCGTATTATTCTCTTTAACTATCCATTTTCCAGTACTTGGTGGAGGAAGGGGGGTTGTTGACGTTGTAGGAACAGTAGTTGTGGTAGATGCAGGCGTAGAAGTTGTTGTTGACTTGGTTGTAGGTGGCAGAGTTGTTGTAGTTGAGGAAGTTGTTGTAGTCGTCGAAGGTGTGGTTGACGTAGTTGATGGAATGAGCGTATTTGATATAGAATTATTTAGTGTGTTCTCATTTTTTGAAGAGATCGAATGCATCTTTATTTCTTCGTTTGATTCAGGTTGAAGCATTGACTGGCGATTTGCAGCTGCATTGTAGCTGGTTCGGTTGATAGAAATACTTGTGTCATTGGAATTGACATTCTCTGGGTTGCCAGCTGTTAAAATTATACATACATTATATTTCTGTATCATTCACAGGATGATTCACCTCTGACCTTCAAGATTTTGCGTCAACAAAACTCATTATGGGCAGAGCTTAAAGAAAATGGTATCTATCTAAAAATAAATTAATATATCTTATTTTTAAAGCTAAGGCATATCTTTAATCAGTTTAAAAAAGTATGCAAGGATCAAATATTTATAATATATGTTGTTAAACATTCATCTATATGTATTAATTAAATTTTACATACATTTTCAGTATCAATTAAATGTTTATATGTATAAGTCATGTAAAATAACATAAATATAAAAAAAGAATTCCTAAACAAAAAACACGAGTCAAAATCATTTTAATTTCACACAGCAATAGATTTAGAGATAAAAGATAGAGGGGTGTCGTAACCAATTAATGATTGTTTCTACCAATGTAGTTTTATTTTGATCTTAGTTCAACTAACCCTTTATCTTCGTCTAGTTAGAAAAATTGTAAAAAATTGAAGAGCAAATTGAGCTAAAATTAAAGTTAATCTACATTAATAGAAATGCGTCTAAGTCTATGACACACTCTTCCCAGGACACCTATTCTGTAACTCGTTAAGACAGCAATGACATTGTTGCACTACTTTTTGTACCATAAAATATCTGCGTAATTGATGTCGTTACTGTCTTAAGTTACAGAATAGGGTACGATAATCCTTATCGCATAAAATATGATCTGGTATCCTCAAGATACTGCGCAATGTCATATCTCATGTATGCAACTGCCAAGTGACTGTTTTGTTTCAAAAGCATATAATCGTTCGAGTCGAATCATCGGAATATAGCGATACAACACGACTACGTGACGCGACGTGAAGCAAGACGAAACGAGTGCAGCTGCACTCGAGTCACTGTCGTGACAACATTCTCGTTCAAGGGAGATCCGGTCCGCCTCATCATCATGGCGCTTTCAGCGATACACGGAATGTGCAATTAATCTCCGAAGTGCGACGGCAAGCATGATTTTAGGGTCGCGATTTCTCTTTTCCGTTTACTTTGTTCCTCTCGTCAAAGCGAGATTGCGAGGTCAACGACGACGACAGCGATGATGAAAATGAAAATGAAAATGATAATGATGATGATGATGATGGAATCATCGACACCGCTGTGCAAAATCACGATAATACGTTTCTGGCACGGTTAGCTATCTGCATCGGCGGCTGCAGATTACGAATTCACACCAGGAATTCGTTACCTGACACAATTGTCGCGGCCCAGCACAAGAGCAGCAGAAGTCTCAGCATGATGTCGAACGTTCAGAGAAGTCTATCGCAACACTGCAGACTGCAATGCATTCGTGTTCATGAGATCGGCACAGAAACAGTGTTGCCAGATATTTTTTGTCAGGAACTAAAGCTCTAGATATACCTAGGCTGTTATGCATATGATGCGTTCGGGGAATCGCTGTTGGCGCTACTTCTGTCTAGAGTCCTAGATTTATCAGAGGCGCAACCGGTGTTATGCATTCTGATTCGCTGTTGCAATCTGACCAATTGCGTGACTTGGCAGCCATTTATAGTACTAGTGACATATTTCTATTCCATTTTATCCTATACATTCTATCTCACATTATTCTACACGTCTTATCTTGTTTGACATAGTTTAAAGGCAGTTTCATAGCATGCGGCCATGTTTAGTACTCTCCTTAGCGCCTTTGTCATACTAACTTAAGCCGGTTGCGCCTCTCCAAAGGCCCGTCTA